ATGCACACACTGATACCCCAAATTCCCACTGACCCTTCCACACATAAAAAGGCACATGCACGCATGCACACGCACAGACACACACACCCCTTACACACACCCATGCTCCTCTCCATTCTAACTGGATGTTGGGACTGGGCCTGTTTCAGGCCATCTCTCGATTCTTTTTTTTTTTTTTTTATGTTTTATTTATTTTTGAGAGAGATATAGAGAGACAGCGTATATAGGGGAGGGTCAGAGAGAGAGGGAGATACAGAATTGGAAGACAGGCTCCAGGCTCTGAGCTAGCTGTCAGCACAGAGCCTGATGCGGGGCTCGAACCCATGAACCGTGAGATCATGACCTGAGCCGAAGTTGAACGCTTAACCAACTGAGCCACCCAGCCACCACCCCCCCATCTTGATTCTTATCCGAGTTTGGATCAATCATCTCACTGCAACATAATCAGTGTGTGTTTTCATTTATCAAATAGGAACCGAAAGTCCTTTCTAGTAACCAGCCACGATTTGCAATCCTGGAATGTTGGTAATACCAGAGCACACATTGATGACCACCTTCCGGCACACCTTTCCCTGAATCAGCGGCAGCCCTGGGCACCTCGCGGCTGCCTTGTTATTACAGCCACTAGGGTTCTGGATCACATGACCATTTTTGAAAGCAAACCAACCGAGCAGTGATATAAGTAATAGCATACTGAATATATCTGGAACCTTTTAAATGTCTTGTTGATAATTCAGCAGACTTTCCATGAGCTTGGAGATCCATTGGGCCAGAGGCTGTTTTCACAGTGGTGTGGATATGCAGAAGGGCTGATTAACTGGGAGTTCTAGTCACAGGAGTGTCAGCTCCCTTCCCAGTCTTTTATACAACTAGATTAAACTAGATACCAGCCAGGTGAAATCTGAAGACCAGGCATTCTGGATTCAGATATCCATGCCACCTTTTCTTTTGTAGCTTGCAAGGAAAAGTGTCAAAGTCCTCAGAACTTTGCGCTGACATGTTTGATAGTCTCCAAATTTCCCTTCGGGATCAGGCTGGGCACTACCTCAGGGCAGTCACCCAGGACAGGCCAAGTCCCTTCTAGGCTGGCCATCCTACTCATTGTAGACGATGATTAGAATGTTCTAGAGCAGTGACCTAGAAGGCTATTTCCAGGCTGTGGGAGCTCAGAAACCAGGAGTGGTAGGCCCCTGTTTTCCAAACCAAGTTATAGGTCTTGCCCTTTCTGCCCCTGGAGTGGCCTCTTTGCAGGAGCTAGAACATGGTGCAGGTGAGGAAAATGGTGGCCCAGCCTCAAGGGCAGATATGTATACATGCCATGGCTGGCTGGGCCCTCTCTCCAACCCTTCTCACCACATCCCTCCTTCATGCATCTGGGGCCCAAGACTCCATGGTGGAGTGATCTGAACTTCAGGGCTATTTCCAGACTCCCAGATGTAAAGGAGAAAAGAAGGGCGTGGCCTAATCCAGAAGTCATCAATGGCTAGTGGAGGTTATGGTTGTTCTTTTAAATTATTTATAAAGATAGTCTCCTGGCAAAACAATAAAAATGTCATAGATAAGGATAAAGGTCTTGCTCTCCCTCCCCATCATCCTGATGCTGGTATCTTTGGGGATGTCTATCCCAGCCCTATTTTCCATGTGCCCACATAAGCATGTGTCCAGGGAACAGAATCACATTCACAGTGAATCCTGTACTCTGTTCTCTTCCTACTCTCCAGGCAGGAGGTGTGGGTCTGCTCCTTCTGACCCTGCTCAGAGTGTGTCTGCATGGACTTGCACTGTCTGTGGGTGTGAGCCTGCCTCAGTGCCCAACCCTGACACCTCCTTGCACACGCGGGAGAATGCTCCTCTCACAGGCATCAGGAGGTACGGATGCTGCCTCACAGGTAAGGCTTTTCCAGTTCTGGTAGATTCTGCTTGTTTCAAAGGCAATAATGGCTTCACTCAGTAAAGACTGAGGCTGAGCCAACCTCCCCCCAGAAGGTTTCTGGATGGGGATATTATGAGTTGAATTGTGCCTCCCCCCCCAAAAGATGTACTGAAGTCCCAACCCCAATATCTGTGAATGTGACCTTATTTGGAAGTAGGGTCTTTGCAGATGTAATGAAGTTGAGCCAAAGTCGTCCTGGAGTAGGGTGGGTCCTAAATCCAGTGACTGGTGTCCCTATAAGGAGAGGGAGATGGGAGAGAGACACAGAGACACATGTGGGGAAGAAGGTAGGGGCAGAAATTGAAATCATGTAGCTACAAGCCAAAGATTTGGGGGAGCCAACAGAAGCTGGAAGAGGCAAGGAAGGATCTCCCCCAAAGAGCCTTCAGAGGGAGTGTGGCCCCTCTGTGACACCTTGATTTGGGGCTGATAACCTCCAGAAGCGTGACAGAGAAAATCTGTCGTCCTCAGGCCAGCACGTTTGTGGTAATTCGTTACAGCAGCCTCAGGAAATTCATCCCCGGGATGCGTCAGGAAGAGACCATATGTCTCCCTCCACTACTGCAGGAATGGGCTGGAGCCTTTCTTCTCTCTTCCCATATGAAATCCCCTTGCACCCAATGAGTCTAAGGCGTTCTCAGCCTGAGCACCCCTGCAAGGGGCTGAAAGCCACTCAGAATCAAGACCGAGAACCATGTGACCCTGGTTAAGTAACACACTCACAAGGGTGGCCTCTTTGTTGAGGTTTCTGAAGAGTGCCCCAGGGCTGCCCCTCACAGCCTGTGCCCTGTGGGCCTCCTCCTTGGGGCAGCCCAGGTTTGTCTCTCCCCTGTACCCCCCCGCCACCCCCCCCCACATCAGCACAGCCTCAGCACTGTCATTCTTACAGCTACCCTCCACATCTCCCTCTCTTACTTTAGGAGAAGTTCAATGCACCTACACATATATTCCAGCCTTGTTCTTCCCCTGGGCCTGGGCCTCCCAGGTCTGAGTAAGGATGGCCAGTGGGATTACTTCCCATCTGATGGACGTGGAAGCCGCAACCCAGAGCGCGTTGGGTGTGCCTGGTGGAGGTGTGTGCAGTGGGAAGGAGTGTGCCGTCCCAGCTCTGTCCAGGGCCCTCTCCCAGACCCTCAGTGGAGAGCCCAGCTGGCTGACACCTTTGCTTCTGCTGACTGGATGAGGGGAGGGGACTGAGAGATGGCAGGATGGGGCTGAGCCAGAGAGGAAGCTTTTGGTCAGTGGTCTCATTGGGTAGTCAAGGCTTCTAGAAGAACTCTCAGGGCCACAACAGACTTGGTCCGCCCCCTTTGAAGGTTGAAGTTTAGAAGAATCTTCACATAGCAGCTATATACACACAGGAGCCAGCCAGACACAACTTCTCTACCCTCCACACACACGCACTTAAAACCTCAGGGCCTTTCCAGAGACCAGCTTACAAGGCTCTGCAGAGTCCAGACTCACCCAACCATCAGCCTTTCCTTATACTTACCTCCCATGCTCTACACCCTAGCCATACCACCTTTAGTTTCTAGAATATGCTCACACCTGCCACAGGGCCTTTGCACACATTGTTCTCTCTGTTGTCTGGATTCTCTTCACTCCCCTTCCTCTTCTCCTAGGCAGTTCCTGCATATCCTTCAGGCATCAGATCAAAGCCCACCTCCACAGGAAGCCTTCCCTGACATGCCCCCATACCCCTTGACCCAGCCACTCAGATCTCCCCTTAGGGCTGTCATCAAAACTCCACCCGTCTCCAGAGCAACACTTATGACAATGGCAATTACATACCGATAGTGCTAATAAAAGCCCTCATTGGTCTTAGCTTGCATCATATGACCATTCCAGGGCTGACCTTATATCCAGCGGAAAGGAAATCTCTGACTAGCAAGGCCTACACCACAGGGACACCTTGAAACTGGGGCGGGCCATGGGAAAAGCCCCTGGAACCACTTAGACTGAAAGTGGGAAGGTGTTTCTCAAATGGACATTACCCGGGAGCATCAGGGCTAAACTATGCCCACTCCCTGCCTGTGTCTGTGTCTCTGCCGAGCTGAGGGTCTCTTTTAGAGTGGAGGACAGGGGTCTGCAGGGCCAGCTGGTCGTAGGGGCAGAGAGAAAGCTGCACCTGCTCAGATCAGAGCTGCTGAACAACGTCATGGGCTCTACCAAGAGTCAGCAAGCAGGTGGTACAGGAAGGAATCTGTAGAGGATACAGGCTACCCCATCAGAGATGCCAGAGACATGTCTCTGTCTGAGGGTGGGAGTAGCTGAGGCTTGGTCCCCCTCCACTCAGGGGACAGCTACTCAGGTGGGGGTCTGAGGGCACACTCAGCCCTTGCTGTCACAGAAGCCACATCTGGCTGCAAGGATACAGGTGGCCAACGCATAAATAAAGCATGGGAAGCAGGTGGAAAAAAGTGAGCTGATGAAAACAAAGAGTGACTGGGGTGAGGTCAGGAAAGGCTCTTACAGGGAGAAAGAGACTGTCATGTCAATGCCTGGGGGACGAGCTCTCCTGACAGGAAACAGCATATGCAAAGACCCTTCAGTAGAGATGAGTGTGGCAGGTTCTAGAAGGCAAAAGTTTGGAGTGGCTGGAGTATGGGAGTCCAGGGGAGCAGGAGGGAGGGGCCGCCGGAGCCCTGGAAGGGAGTTGGATTTTATCCTAAGAACTGTGAGTGTCTGGTGAAGGATGGTCAGCTGGGGAGAGAGCCCTTCAGGCTCTGAGGTGCCAAGACTCTGCAGTGGGAGAACGGGTGTCTGGGTGTCTGGTGGGAAGCCCTCTGGTTTGCAGGCTTTTGAAACACATGGGACTCCTCACAGGCTCCCGCTGCCACAGAGCAAAGTTCTGACACTACTTCTGCGTGAGGCAATGTAGACATCTGCTACATTGTAGACACAATTGGACACTTTTCAACATATTGCTCAGCCTATAATTTCCGCAGGCTGCATCTAATTCTGCCTGCACAGGGCGGAGGCGGGGTGTCGCTGGGGGCTGCCTCCCAGTGTACAAGCAGGGAGGGCAGATGTCCCCTTGTCCTCCTGTGGCTCCTAGGTGAGGGGCGGGTGCCCTCGAGGGCTTTCCGCGTGAGGCGCTGTCTGGCCAGTACCTCGGGCTGCCACCTCTATGGTTTGAGGCATTTTGTTGGGCAAGTGGAGGGTGCATCTGGTCGGAACGGGCCAAGAGACACAAGAACAGCGGCTGCCTCGTGAAGGAAAGGACGGCGTGCGTGAGGGGCTGCCAGTCTCCCACATTAGCTTGCTGCCTCCTGACTGAGCCCAATTGTTAGAGGGACCCTGAGGCTGCGAGAGGTAAGTAATTTGCTTGAGCTCACGCAGCCACAAGTGGCCTAACCGTCACTTGACCCCACCTTGGTCTAGCTCTAGAGGCCTGAGCCTCTCAGCACCTCAGGCTTCTCGGTCATTACCTGGACACCTACAGGGCGGCCATCACCAACGTCTACGGTGCCCAGAGCACTGCTCCTGCCACTCCCTCCTGGAAAACAGATCAGAGAGCAGAGAGGCTGAGGTCCCACTGACCCCAAGGGGTCCCCATGTTGGAAGCATAGGGGACAGGCCCACAACCCCATGGACAATCCTCACAGGTCCACAGCCCAGAGGCCCTGCCCACATACCTGCTCCAGCCGGGCCCTTGGATACATGGCTGAGAAGGGCTGACAACAGCCCTGGAATTCTCTAGAAGATCCCATGCGCTCTTTTCAATGGTTTGTTTTTGTCTGTGCCCATCTGAAGGAGAAGGAGGGGGAGGTGGGGCACTGAGGGCTGTCTGGGTGGGAGAGCAGGGGCTCTGTTACACCCTTGACCCACCTTCCCGGCACGGCCCTTTCAGGATCCTGGGCTGCCCACCCTCCTCACATAGGCATGATTTCCAGAGCCTGAGAGGGCAATGCTTAGCCCCTATGTGTCCAGTAACAGCCCCTCAGCAGAGGAGAAGTTTCCAGGGTGCAGCCTGAGGGACCAGGACTGCATGTCTGCATTTCTGTAATTCTCCAAGGCTGGCCTCCTCCACGAGGGAAGGAAGCAAGGTCCCTGGAGGCTCTATATCCTTAACTCTCACCAAAGGACCAAATCTCTCTTTCCAGCTGCAGGTTCAGAATAGCCTGGAGAACAGCTCTGAGCGGCCTGGCTCGGGTCATGCGCCCACCTGGGACCAATCAACGGCTGCAGGGTCAGGCACGGGCGGGGAAGGTGGCTGCGGCCTCTGCCAGACTCACGGGAGGAGCAGTTCCCCAAAAAGAGCAAGTGTGTGAGCAGAGGTGAGGTTGGGGGAGAGGGGGCACCCTTTCCAAAAGGAAGGCAGGGAGCAACAGGAAAATGCAACAGAAACAGCCTGGAGGGAGGTGCAGCTTGTACAGGCTTCAAAGGGGGGACACTACTCCAGTGCGCAGAGAGGCAAGGAGCACCACAGAAGGGAGTGTGGTGTGTGCCAGCAGGGGCTATCACAGGGTGTGGCTGCTTTGTGGGGAGTATGGTCGGGCCAGAGCACCAGAAGCACATCTCTGATAGCTGGCATGGTGCCCTTTGGAAAAGGTGCCTCCCTGAGTGAGTCCAGTCCCAGGGTGCAGGGCATGGTAAATGGAACGCAGCATGGGCCAGATTGTATAGTGCACAACATGCACAACTATGTGTAACAGCCATGACTAGAGTATCAGGCCACTGGACAGACCCCATCAGCTCGCCTCAGAGAGCCTCTCTGGAGCTGAACAGTGGTGTGTGTGTGTGTGTGTGTGTGTGTGTGCGTGCATGTCCTGCAGCAATGAGATGCCAGCGAAAACAAAAGGATGGTGGCCCCCAGCTGATGGGCAAGAAGCTGAGTGCCATGCAGGCAGTTCTGAGTGGTTGCAGACTCACCTGCACACCCGCCAGAAGTGAGTGCCCCTTCCAGCTGCCTGGGTGTGGAGCAGCAGGCAGCAGCTCATTGGCAGCGTGGGCCTGCGTGGACTCTCACGCAGCTTGCGGGCCCTACGGCTTCCACCGTGGACAGGTCCCGATTCCCCCCAAGCCCGCCAGGAGGCCAGAGGCAGCGCCACGCACCAATTACCAGAGCCAATTAATTCACACTTAACGGGGTTATTTTCTTTTGCTGCACAGAACCGAGGGGCATAAAGCCCTGATTCCTCTCCTGTGGCCCCATCCGGCTCTCTGCGCTCGTATCATTTAATAACTCCTGCCGCAAATTGAAGGCCAGGCCTTCACGGGCGATTCCCCATCAACAATCTGGCGAGGAGGCCACTGACTCCACGCTGTTTATACTTCCCTCTCCCCTCCGTAGCTCCCAGAAGTTTCCATAAAAGCAGATGTAGGTAATCAAAGACTTCCCAGCCCCAACAGCTCTGCTCCTCAAGGCCTCCACACAGCCTGCTCCCTCTGCTGGGTCACATGGCTCCAAAAGAATCTTAAACCAGCCCTGAAATCTCTCCCCAGGAAGGAAGACTCCTCCTTGCCCGCAGATCTGCCATCATTTGTCGAGTATTTTATGGTCAATAATAATAGTAATAACACCTTCACTGTCTCTTGTGCCTTTTCCAATTACGTTCCGAGCACATGGCGTGGGCCCCCCACAGCATCACGGCAGCCGATGAGCAAGGGGTCTCGTTCCCATCGTGCGGACGGAAAGAAGGCAGTATACCAAAGGTCAACCTAAGTGCCTCGCCCCAGTCTCAATGTTCCAGGAGTGCCTTCACCAAGTGCCAAGGATGTGCTGCTTAGCCCTGGAGCCTGGAGATCAGCAGAAGGGCTAGGAGGTGGACTGAATGCCAGGATTTCAGACAACCTCACTGACCCAAAGGCCTGGCCCAATCCCTTTGTTTTACAGGCAAGACCGTCAGAGCCAGCCCCTAGAGGACGCAGAGCCCCAGGCTTCCCCATCCACGCTCTCTGCAGTTCACATCAGTGCCAGCAGGAGCTGAGCCATGGACAACAAAATGACTTTAGACTGAACAGCCAGACTGCATATATGTGGGGCTGGGTTTCCAGCATCTCCCTTGTTTCTGAAAGCCGCCCCTTCTAGGGGAATTTCCTCGTGGGTACAGTCTTGGCAAGGAGTCAGTCCCCTTCACACCATGGAGATCAGAGTGGGATGAGACCTAATTCCACCCACCTGGTGGATCCAGACAGCAGGGGCCTGAACTAGACACAGCTGATCACATGGCTGCCCTCAGTGCTGGGAGTCTTTTTTTTTTTTTTAAGTTTATTTATTTATTTTGAAGAGGTGGGTGGGAGAGAGAGCAGGGGAAGGGCAGAGAGAGAGAGAGAGAGAAAATCTCAAGCAATCTCTGCGCTGTCAGCACAGAGCCTGATGTGGGGCTCAAACTCAAGAACCAGAAGATCATGACCTGAGCTGAAATCAAGAGTCAGACACAACCCAAGTCCTGGGAGTCTTAAGCAAGAGATACAATGAGGAGGCGAGTGTCCTCTCAGGAAGTCTGATTTCTCCAGAGGTGCCTTGTTGTTTGAGATGTCTGGAATCCGTTTCTATCAGCTGCAACCAAACCTCAGACCAACATGGCCCATGATAATGATCGTAGCTAATGTGTGTGGAGCACCTGCTATGTGCCAGACGCCTCTGAGTTACTTCAGTTAGTCTTCACTGATGAGGCTACAGAGGCACAGAGAGGTTAAGGAGCTCATCCAAGGTCACACAGCTACCAACTCGGGCCATCCGTCCCAGAGCCTGCATTCTTTTTTTTTTTTTTAAATGTTTTATTTATTTCTAGGAGAGAGAGAGAGACAGCATGAGCAGGGGAGGGTCAGAGAGAGAGGGAGACACAGAATCTGAAGCAGGCTCCAGGCCCTGAGCTGGCAGTCAGCACAGAGCCCGACGCGGGGCTCAAACCCACAAACCGCGAGATCATGACCTGAGCGAAAGTCAGACGCTTAACCAACTAAGCCACCCAGGCGCCCCGCAGAGCCTGCATTCTTGATGAGTAGACTGGTCTGACTCAAAAGAGCACAGTGGCTTCTTGGCATCTCGAGAGCAGAAGTAGGACAGGGGCTATGATGGGTGGATAAAGCGAATTTCCCCATATTAAAAACCTCCTCTACCATAGGAGTGTGAGGGTCCTGGCAGAATCTTGGTGCCTAGTGGGGCAGGAGCACGTCATGTTTCCAGGGCCAGTCCCCCAGCCAGGGTGTATGTATAATGCCCAGAAGCCACTCTGGCCAGGCCCTCACTGCAGGGTCATCAGCAGAGAGAGCCAGAATAGACAGGTGGAGGGCTGGGGGAGGCAGGCGTCACAGGTGTGGTCTTCAGGGCTCTGTCAGAGCCTACTGCCAAGTCTGAAGGGAAGAGGACAGTGAGCAGAAGGGACATCCCCAACTCCAGCCAAAGCACCCGCCTCTTTCTGGTTTACCTCTGGGGCTCCCACAAGGAATCTCATTTGAGCAAAGGCCTTTCCTCTGCCGACAGGAAGTTAAGTGTGAAAGTGCCAATGGCATCTCTGCCACCACTTGGGGACCTTCTGCCTGAGAATGGGCCAACGCAGAGGAAAGCAGGGACACAGCAAGAAAGCTTCCTGTCAATATTGTTTAAGTTCCTGGATCTAGCTATGCCTGAAGTCCCTGAAGTTTTGGACAGCGAGGGCCAGTAATTGGTTGATGTTATTTCAAGTTTCACTTGAGCCTGCTGACTCACCTTTCTGTCATTTTGATTTGAATGAATCTTGACAAATATGGGTCCACACTAGAATAAGCCCCTGCTTTCCCCAGCCTTGAGGAGTTTCCAGTCATCACAGTGAAGCAAGCAGCTTTAACCACTCGCAGGGACTGTCCTACCTTGTGTTCCATCAGGAGAAGAAGTGGCAGCTGGCACGGAGCCACTCACACCCCACCAAAGATGCCTTGGGAGCCGAGGCCAAGGGCCAGAAGTCCAGTGGTTCTCCCTGCCAGAATATCCCTCTCCTACCATGACTTCTCAACCTGGCAGCCTGAGGAGTCGTCTAACAAAAACCAGTCACGTCTCTCCCTCGCTCAAAACTATCCAGTCCCCATGCACTTAGATTGTCCTTAGTCCCTGCCCAGCCTCTCCACTCCTCCCTGGCCTCCAGTGTTTTTTTTTTTTTTCAGTGTTTATTTTTTGAGAGAGAGAGAGGGAGAGAGTGAGCAGGGCAGGTACAGAGAGAGAGGAACACACAGAATCTGAAGCAGGTTCCAGGCTCCAAGCTGTTGGCACAGAGCCTGACGTGGGGCTCGAACCCCCAAGCTGTGAGATCATGACCTGAGCTGAAGTTCCTGGCCTCCAGTCTTGCTGGCCTACTCTCTCCTCTGGAGCAAGCCTGGCTTGCTCTACCTCAAGGACTCACGCTCACAGTGGCTTAGCCCAGTGGGAAGGCCACTCCAGTCTGGGTCCTCCTCTTCATGCTGCTGAGTCCCGCAGTCACCTCCCCTGGGGCTTTCTCTGACTGGCCTTCCAGTCACTCTGATTTCCTTTCTTTGCAGCAGCAATGGCTGCTTGTCTTAGTCCTTGTTGATTGTCTCTTTCCCCCACAAGAACAGAACATCTTAGCATCACTGTGACCACAGGGCATGGAAGTATGCCCTCTATACTGGGCACTCAGTAAACCTTTGTTGAATGAATGAATGAATGGTGAATACAGCCTCCAATGACTTGCCAACCACCTCCCCCTCTCCTGGTTACCCACACCTCATCTTCACCACACACATCCAGAGAGCAGCCCGCCCTCTTTCTCAACCCTCCTTCCAGAGAAGTCCCAGCATCCACGAGCAGGGATCATTCTTCTTTCCCCACCTCCATTTCAGCAACCCATGGCAGCTCTGACCACCCCGGGAGTGCAATGCTCCTGCAATGCCTCTGGCCGTGGCCACTCTGGGAGACAGCTGCAGCTCATCCTGGGGGTCCCTGAGGGAGGTGGGGGCTGCAGCGGACCCTATTCCAAAGAGCAATGGCCCAGGATAGTGGTGGGGTTTTTTTTCCATATGAGGAAAAAATTAGCTTTCCTTACCAGACAAGAATGACAATTTACAGAAAATTATGCCCTGAATTCATAATCTGGAATGAGCGGAAATGGTATTCTATAGTAATCCATCCCAACTGACTCGCTATTGTATACGCACCTGCTAACATTTTTTAAGCCGGGACTTTATGGAAAGGACATTTTGATCGCTTCTGAAGTTTGCTGAGCAATTCCCCTCACTCTCAGGCATACGGTCTTTGTGCTGGAAATTTCCCTCGTGGCTTCCCGCAGGCACCAGCAGCCGGGCACGTGGGCTCGCACACGGCTCGCGCACACACAGCCGCAGCCCCCTCTTGTTGGCATGGCTCTGACGGGGGCTCTGCAGGTGCTGAGCTACGGAAATGGAAGCTGGGACAGGGAACTAACAGTTGGCACCTGTACCGAGTTTGCCGGAGGAGCTGAAACAGTGGTGCCCACCGGAATTAGAGATGCTTTCCAGCGCTGGATGAGAGGAGGGGCAGGGGACAGCAGACACATGAAGGGCCAAGCCAGGCTGCCTCTGGGCCATGCAGGGGTGAGGTCATGAGAGCTGGCCATCAGGCTGCAGAGATGCTGTGCAGGAGGGGGCCAGGCGATCATCGACACCCTCATGTCCCTGGTTTCTGTGCTTCTGTAGAAGCCACTCATTTCAGGACCCTGTTGGGGTCCATGCTACCTGGTCCTTGCCTCAGGCCTCCAGCCCAGGACTGACACAAACCCATGGTGGCCTGGGAACCCCATGGGGCAGGAATGAGGCCACCACCAATATGCTCTGTTCCTCGCCCTGGGCGTGGTGCATAGTGGGTACTGGGGAGGTACCTCCAGTCTGACTTAAGGCCTGGTCAGAGGACTGCTCCATTGGCAAGTAGGCCTTCCCACTGACACTCAGCCTGTGTAGCCTCCAGGATCTCTAGTGCCTGTCCTTTAGGGGACTCACTGACACCAAGGCTCAGACAACAGGTACGTTGTTGGCAGGGAGGGGTCTTCTTTCCATTGGGATCCTCAGGAAAGTGGTAGTCATGCCAATCTATGACCTGGTAATGACACAGAGACATGAGAGGCTGGATCCAAAACCATTTACTGAAGCTCTCTCTATGGGAACAAATATTTCAGAACATCCTAAATGGATAGCAGAAAGGGAGTGGTTAAATAAGCTATGGAACCTCTGGCTACAACAGCAGCAAGAAAAAAAAAATGAGATGTGCCCTTGTATAGAGGAAGCTCCAGGAAATGTTATTCTGGGAAAAGAAAGTAAGTTTAAAATAAAGTAAGATGGAAATAACACATGCAATATAATTCCACTTTTTTTTTAAATCTCACAAAACGATGTCATATACTGTGATTAGGTACATCCACACACAACACACGTGTGCACATATAAGTGTGTGAAATGTGCAGAGAAGGCTGTGGAAGGGAACGCTCCACACCATCAACCATGTCCACCTCTGGGACGAGAGGGTGAGCTGGTGAGAAAGGGAGATGTTAGCACTGTCCTCAATGTTTGTATTACTCTTATTATGACAAGGATGTATTCTTGCATGCTTCTATAGTTAAAA